CTTATAACAAAAAAAAAAAGCTTTTTTAATATTCAGAAATCTTTATTGTCCCTTTGGCATTTAATTAAATTTCCAGCTTAATTACCTGTTAGTGCCAAAGTGGGTTTTTCTGATTTCTTTATTCGATTTTCTCGTTATCAGCATGAGGAAGGAGAGTGAAAAAAAAACTTTCCCTTTTCACTTTCGTTCGCTGCTTCCGACTCTTCTTTGGGAGCGATGTATCTTTGGCAAAAATTAGATTCCAGGGTACCTTAGTTGTTACTTTTTGTCCCGGTCAGCCAAAACCTTTCACTTCTTAACTTCCTCTTGCACTTTCTTTTCTGGCTGAGTGCTTCTTTGAGGCGGCCATTTCTGACTGCCACTCTTACCGCCTTCGGAAAAGGGAGTTTAGCCAGCTGAGGAGGAAAGATGCGGCTTCCCTTGACCCTGCCAGTTCTCCCCTATCTTCACCACCTCTATGGGGTGGCTTAGCCCCGAAGCCGGCTGGCTTGGGGCATTCCAGCGGCGAGCGCAGGCAGAAACCATGCACAATCGCGGATTCCTGCCTGCCTCCGAAGCGCTGCAAACCGGAACTACCAGATGGAGTCTAGTCTCTTCTTGAAAGCTTGGTTGGCCAAGAGTCCAATTTGCGATCATGTGACCAAAGGCATGCCACAAGAATCCGTCTTAGGCCCAGAACTCTTCAATATCTTCATATATGACTTAGATGAAGGAATAGAAGGGGAACTTACCAAATTTGCAGATGATACTAAACTGGCAGGAATAGCCAACATCCTGGATCTTGAGGTGATTGGCTCAAGATGGATCTTGACAGACTAGAACACTGGGCCCTGTCTAACAAAATGAAATTAAATATAGAGAAAACTACAGTCTTAACAGGGATACAATCGAGATCAAGGGAGGTACTAATACCACTCTATAAAGCCTTAGTAAGACCACACCTAGAGTACTGCATCCAGTTTTGGTCACCACACTTGTTGCTCTTCTCTGTACTTTTTCTAGAGTCTCAACGTCTTTTTTATAGTGTGGTGAACAAAACTGGAATGCAGAATTCCAAGTGTGGTCTTACTAAGGCTTTATAGTGTGGCATTAGTACCTCACTTGATCTTGAATGTATGTTACTACTACCTGGTTCAGGATGGGTAGCAAAGGCATATTTTCTCAAACTTGGCAACTTTTAAGATGTGGACTTTAGCTCCTAGAATTCCCCAGCTAGCATGGCTGACTGAGGAATTCTGGGAGTTGAAGTCCACCCTTCTTAAAGTTGCCAAATTTGAGAAAGAATGGCCCATATCCATGATGGCGAACCTATGGCACGTGTTCCACAGGTGGCACGCAGAGCCGTTTGTTCCGGCACGCGAGCCGCAGGCAAACTTACCTCACTGCGCATGCCTGCACCTTACAGTGATTTTCGGCTGGTTTGAGGCCTTTTTCGATCTGCCAGAGGCTTGAAAAAAGTCTCTGCGGGTTTTGCAGGACGAATAATAGGCCCGTTTTGTCACTTCCTGTAAACACTGGAAGTGACAAAATGGGCCTATTATTTGTCCTGCAAAGCCTGCATTTTTCAAGCCTTTGGGAGGCTGAAAAAGGCCTGAAACCAGCCGAAAAGCAGCTGTGAGACGCAGTGCAGTTAAGGGGGAGAGATTGAACAGGCATGTGCAGGGGGAGGGGGAGGCACATTGCCTTATGGGTGTTGGCACGTGAGTGCGCGCATGCAAGCACGCACTCAATTTTTGACACAGGAGCCCGAAAAGGTTAGCCACCACTGGCCTATATGGAGATTCTTGCTCAACCAGACAGTGGTTGTCTCAAAGGTGCTTTTTTTCCAAAAGGCAGCTGGACTTTAAAAAAAAATAAAAATCTTTCACTTCTCATCCAAGAATCTTCTTCAGCGAGACGTTTTCAAGAAAAAACCCCCAAGAAAGTCCAGTTGTCTTTTGGAAAAAGCACCTTCGGGACTACCCTACATCATATAACGGGCTGAACTATACAGATAGTTCTCAACTTACAACAGTTCATTTAGTGACCAAAATTGCACTGAAAAAAAGTGACTTAGGACCGTTTTTCAGAGTTACAACCTTTGCAGCATCTCCATGATCACATGATCAAAATTCAAATGCTTGGCAACCATTTCATATTTATGACCATTGCAGTGTTCATGTGATTATTAATATTTTTTTAAAGAAAATTTTAATTTTTAATAGCAAACATAAACAAACACAAACATAAAACAACAAATCAAAACTTTCTTTCAGTCGTACAGTGTGTCGGTTGGTATATAACTCTTGTGCAGTCTCTCCCTCTTAAATAATATTGAAATTCATGTTATATAGATCAACTATTCATTTCATATTACATTATTATTAAACCATCATTAGACTTTTAGTTGCAAATTCACACCATCCTTTGCGAGCAAATCTCAACTTTTATAAATCCTAATTCATATTATAAGTCCTTTCTTAATATACAATTATAACATATCATTTCATTGTATTATATTTACTATTGTCTTATGTTTATATTTCATTTCTCTATTTTCTTATCTTACCAATGATAAAATAAATCCCATATTTTATAATATTCTTTTTCTTCTTGCTCTCTGATTGCTAATGTCAATCGATTCATTTCTGCACATTCCATTATTTTCTTTATCACCTCTTCTATCATTTTTCCATTTTTGAGCTGCTGTTAGAACATTAACAATCAAATATATCAATTCTCTACTGTATCCTTCAAGCAAGATACCCAATAAAAATATCTCTGGTTTCAAGTCTATATGTTGCTTTGTCATTTTTTCCAACCATGTATGAATTTTAGTCCAGTATCTTTTGGCTTCCACACACATCCAGGGGTCATGTGATTACTGATCCCCTTTTGTGACCTTGTGACCAGCAAAGTCAACGGTGAAGCCAGAGTCATTTAACAACCGTGTGCCTAATTGAACAACTGCAGTGATTCATTTAACAACGGCTTCAAGAAAAGTCATAAAATGAGGCAGAACGCGCTTAACAAATTTCTCAGGTAGTGTGATGACCCGGGGCGTGGCACAAAGGTAACACAGTCAAATAAGCAAGAAGAGTCCCTTTAATACCTCCAATTTGGCCTGCAATGTCCAGTTATCATCGGCTGGAGAAAAACTCTCCCAAGAACAGCCTTTAAGTGGAGGAAATTCAGTCTGAAAACGAAGTACATGCAAACTAACTAAAAATCCACACAAACCATGCTGCAGTAATTAACTTGACAGGGCAGGAGAAGGAATTGCCGACTTGAAAGCACAGCAAAGCACACACATTTGGGAACACGCCAGAAACCCAGATAAGCCTCCACGATACCAGATAATTCATAATTTGCTCTCAACAGTTTGCTGTACGCAGCTTCCCTTTTTAAACACTGTGTTCCCAGCTGCAGCTAATGAAGGGAATCAGGGCCCTTTCCTCCCCCGTAAGCCATGCAACCCATGTTGCTCCCTTCTCCATTCCTCCCTGTGTGCCCTAGGATGAAGAGGGAGTGGGCCTGGGTCTTCCTCCAAATTCTACCTCCTTTGCTCTACCTCTCCCCTGCCCTGTCCAGCTGGACTTTGCCCTTCCCCAGTTTCTTCCATAGTCAACGGAATCACATTCCCACTCCCTGTCAGCTGCTCGGCCTCCCCCTCCAAATCAGATTCCGACAGGAGCATGACAGGTAGCAACATCCATTTTGGGCTCTACTGTAGGGGTAAGTCCACTTGCCCTCAAACCCGCTTCGGATTTTCCATTCCTTTCCTCCCTAAGAATTAACTTCCCACCTCAGAAGCTTTTCGACTTGTTGAAAGGTGTCAAAATGCCTTTCTTTCGAGGATTCGATTTTCCCGCTGGGAGAGCTCCGGTGCAAGGATACGGACAACTGCTTGAAAGCTGGATCTTTTTATTTTTCAGGAAGGCGGGGGACAGCGAGAAGTCTGCGTTCCTGGGCTAGCTAGCTTCTTATGGTAAGTCCCTGGTTTTTTATACCCTTTTCTCCCTTTGTAAGTTGATTTTGTGTGAATGTTTGTATTTGTGCTTAATGTTTCAAATCCTGTTTGAGTTTGTCTTTATTCCCGCCGGAGGGCAAACTCCGCGGGGTGGTTAGATTGTATTATCGTTTTTTTCTAATCTCTTTTAGCTTTATAATGTTTTTTTTTTCATATTTGTTTTGTGGCAATCTCCTGTCTGTCTCTTTTGTAATTTATATTTTTTTGTGTCTTTTGTCTCTTTGTTTTGCTTATTTGGTATGTCCTGTGTTTGTAAGGGTTTCCTTTTCTTATTTGTCTAGTTTTCTTAATTACTTAGGCTTTTGTCTATAGGGATTCTTTAATACCTTTTATTTGATTCCTTTTCCTATGTAAGTTTTTTTTTAATGGCTGGCCTGATGTTCCCCTTGGGCTTTTCCTGTTTGAGTGACACTACTGTCTTTGTGAAGTTCCCTTTCCACAGACTTCTGTTATGTGATCCGGTCCACTAGGCAAAGGTTTGGGGGGAAAAACACTAAAGTGGGCAAGATATTGCAACCCGCTTTGATTCCAATCAATCAGAATAGAGCCGGAAGGGACCTTGGAGGTCTTCTAGTCCAGCCCCCTGGGGAACACAAGTGGGCAAACGGCTGCAGCTGCCCATCGAGCATCAATGGATCCCTCGCAGTGTAATAGAATATAATTCTTGATTCTGTATTGGCCAAGGGTGATTGGACACACAAGGGATTTGTCTTCGGTGTAATCCTGACCGTGCAAAGTGTTGCCAAAGTGTCTCTCTCTCTCACACACACACCCTTTTTAAACGCAGCCGGGTCTTCCAGAGAGCGAAAGTTGGGCAAGCATTTAAATAATAATAACCACAATAATAATTGCATTTAACAGGTGGGGGGGATGGCCTTTCGCAGGTTGAGCGGCGCTCCAAGGGGTTAAATCCAGAGAGGCAGGGAGTCCCACGTCCTAGAAAGGCCGAGCAAAGGCTGGGGGTTTGCGGGGGTTTGCTTCGTGCCGCCAGGGGAGTCTTTGCAGCCGGACTGGTGGAAAAAAAAGGGATGGGGAGATCGCCGTGCATGGGGGGAAAAGTGAGTGGCGCAGCGGGGCTAGGAGGGTGGATTCCTCCCTCCCTCCCTTCCCCCACCAGCTGGGATCCCGGCGGGCCCTTTGCGCCGCGAAATAAAAGCCCCTTCCCCCCGCACCTTTTGCAAAATTGGACCTTCGGTTCGGTTCTGCTCCGGGCTGGATCGGTTCTGCCCAGCCAAAGCGCGGCGGGTTACGATCGCGACCCAGCTCGTCCGGAGGGCGCCTGGTTGGGGAAAGCTGGGGCAGATGCGCCCTCTGGGGAACCAGGGAAGGCGGCGGGCAC